GCAGGACGCCCGTAACCCGATTTGTGGTGCAGGCAATAAGGAAAGAATTGCGACAGAGCTAAGAAATATTGGGCAGGGATACATGAAACGATACAAAAGGTTTGGAAATGCAACGTACCTTTTACTCCTGAAATATTTCTCTTGCACATTTTACCCGATAATTTTAAAAGCAATGACTCTCATTTGCTAATACTTTTCACTGGCGACGAAGGTGGGATCTACGACCCCATGAACAAGACCCGGACGCCAACACGAGTACCGCACCGAGCCTGACGCCGAGACCTCTCCGGGAACCGCGCAACTTCGCATCCCAGCTCTCCGGCAACTGCTCATCGCTCCGCTCCCGGCTCCGCTTGCACACTGCTGACCCCTCGAGCAGCAGCATCGCTCTCCACGCCTAGCACGCTTCAGGCTAAGCTCGCTCGACCAGCGCGCCCGCCTCTCCCGGTCCTCCGAGCGTCCACGAGCATCCGTGGAAATGTCGGAGCAAAATGCCACCTCCGCTCCCTCCTCTGCTTCCACGTCCTCATCCTCCGGGCCCAACGCATCCTCCGGGGTCGCCACCGCCGCTCCAGCAGGGACCTCGCACGAAGGCATCGCTCCGTTTGACTTGGCCCACCCCGAACGATGGACCACATGGGTGAGGATCCTCAAGCACTACCTTGCCTGCATGCGGGTCACCGACGCCGAATTGAAGAGATCCCAGCTCATCCGGCTGTGTGGGATGGACACCCTGCTCCTTCTGCAGAACCTAATCTCACCTAAGGAGGTAGAGGAGGTGAGCTTCGAGGCCCTCATCACGGCTCTCACGGCCCATCTAGCGCCACAGCCCTCCAAATTTGCGGCCCGCATGGATTTTTTTGTGAAGGTCCAGGGCCCCGAAGAGAAAGCTGCGGACTTCCTGGCCAACCTTCGCAAGGCCGCCATGAAACCCTGACTGTTCCCTGGAAGGCCAGATAATGAAACTGAAGCTCAAATACTTTGGCCACCAAATGAGAAGGGAGCACTCACTGGAAAAGACCCTGATGCTGGGAAAGATTGAAGGTCAAAGAAGACGGGGACGGCAAAGGATGAGATGGTTAGACAGTGTCAGCGATGCAACGAACATGAAATTGAGCCAACTTCGGAGGACGGCGGAAGACAGGAGAGCCTGGCGGGAGATTGTCCATGGGGTCGCAAAGAGTCGGACTCGACTGTGCGACTGAACAACAAATAAAACACCACCTCAGCTAGAGTATTGTATGCCAAATACTGGAAGAGCCAAGAAATACCAAGTAAAGAAGAATTCATTAACAAAATATTAGAAGCGGCAGAGATGGACAAACTAACCTTAACTCTGATCATACTGAAGAGTCATTTGAAAACACATGGCGGAGATTCTATAAATGGTATGAGAACTATATCCATACTAAGACAGGACAAGGTATATAAAGAAGGAGAAGAGAAGAAACAGACTTCGAGAACTTAACTTTTGATAATATTGGTTGCACTAAATCTTGGTTTACTATGAGTAATAGATAGTTGGCTTTAAAGTATATATTCACATAATGTACCCCCAATTTTATGTTTGTGTTTGTTATATGTTTGTGTCATGTCTGTGTTGTACAAAAAATAAAAAATCTTATGTAAAAGGAAAGAGTTGAAGTTGTGAGTGGTTTGGTTTCTTCACGGCAGGGGACCTGAGCAGTTGCCCCGTGAAGCGTTCAATCGACTTCCTGTTTCTGTTCCCTGCCGGGGAGCGGTGAAAATAAGACTGCCCTCAAAAGACTTGGTAACCCATAATATGCGGCTGTGTTCAGCTTGGCAAGTCACCAGAGATGAACTTAGGAGTGGGCCTTTAAAAAGCCCAAACCTGTTACGAGGCGGGCCGAAAACCGCTCCAAATTTTCCGCCCGGCTCGCTAATGAGAATGCGTCGTTGCCATAGCGGGCCCCACCCTGCGGCTAGTTACCTAGTTTCCCTTTCTCAAGAGTTTTGTTTGCTTGGGAAGGGGGGCGGCACCTGGTATTGTATTTCCAAGCTCCTGTCGAAAAAGACCGGGGGGGGGGGCCCCAACTTTGCATGTTTTATTTTTTCCCTTAAGTTTCTCCAGGAAATTTAAGGAACGAGCTCAACACGAGCCAAACTGGGGGGAACTTGCTGATCACTGGTCACAAGTCACGCAGTTCAAGAGAAACAGATTTTGAGGGTCAGATACGAGTCCGGGAGAGTCTTATAGACCAACGAAATTTTCGGCATGCGAGCGTTCAAGAGTCAACGCCCCCTTCGTCAGATCAGATACTGAGAGCTTGTTCTCTTTAAAGTTCGTACCCTGAAAATCTTGTTCGTTTCTAAGGTTCTAGTGGACTCGAATCTCGCTCTTAGACGGAAGACCACTGTTCCCTCTAAACTGAGTTAGCGTGAGCTAGCTCACAGTTTTTCAGGCTCCGGCTCACCCATTTTTGTCTTCGTTCAGGAAGGAGGGCTCCAGAGCAGTGTTCCCTCTAAGTCAGCGTGAGCTAGCTCGCAGTTTTTTAGCCTCCGGCTCACCCATTTTTTTGCCTTCGCTTAGGAAGGAGGGCTCCAGAGCAAGAAGAAAAAGAAGAAGAGATTGGATTTATACCCCGCCCTTCACTACCCAAAGGTGACTCAGAACGGCTGACAACCTCCTTTCCCTTCCCCTCCCCACAACAGACACCCTGTGAGGTAGGCGAGGCTGAGAGAGCTCTTGACAGAAACGGCTCTTTTTCAAGGACAGCTCTTGTCAGAACTATGGCTTGCCCAAGGTCATCCAGCCAGGTGCAAGTGGAGGAGTGGGGAATCAAACCTGGTTCTCCCAGTTTAGAGTCCGCGCACTTAACCACTACACCAAACTGGCCCTCCAAACTAATTTATGCAGGAGTCGAATCGCTCGCTCACAACTTTAATGCCAGTCGCTCACAAAGTAGGATTTTTGCTCACAAGACTGTCAGCTTTGCTGCCATTGCAGGTGGAGGGGGAAGGGAGTCTCTGGAGTGAACATCTTAATGTCCTGGTATGTCAGCTTTCACTTTCTCGCTGAGCCTTATCTTCTTGCCTGACCTTGATGCTTCGTGCTCTTGCCTCCCTGGAACCTCTACTCGTTACTTTCGGCGTGCAAGGCCTGCAACTCTGATTGGTTTAACGCCATTAGGAGCCCCCCCCCCTTCAAACGCAGTATATCTTCCCTTCTCCTGCCCGCTGGGTTAGCCTTTAGACAGACTGTATGCACAGATGACCTGCTTCTACTCGACTCAATAAACTTAAGAACATAAGAACATAAGAGATGCCAATGTTGGATCAGGCCAAAGGCCCATCCAGTCCAACACTCTGTATCACACAGTGGCCAGAAATACCAGGTGATATCAGGAGGTCCAGCAGTGGGGCCAGGACACTAGAAGCCCTCCCGCTGTTAAGAACATAAGAGAAGCCAAGGTTGGATCAGGCCAGTGGCCCATCTAGTCCAACGCTCTGTCACACAGGGGCCAAAAATACCAGGGGCCCTCAGGAGGTCCACCAGTGGAGTCAGGACATTAGAAGCCCTCCCACTGTTGGACCCCCCCCAAGCACCGAGATGACAGAGCATCACTTGCCCCAGAGCCCCTATCTATACCTTGTGGCTAATAGCCACTGATGGACCTCTGCTCCATATGTTTATCCAATTCCCTCTTGAAGCCGTCCATGCTTGTAGCCGCCACCACTTCCTGTGGCAGTGAATTCCAAGTGTTAATCACTCTTTGGGTGAAGAAGGACTTCCTTTTATCCGTTCTAACCCGACCGCTCAGCAATTTCATGGAGTGCCCACGAGTTCTTGTATTGTGTGAAAGGGAGAAAAGTACCTCTTTCTCTACCTGCTCTTTCCCATGCATAATCTTGTAAACCTCAATCATGTCACCCCTTGATCCTTTGAAAGGAACGTTGTTGAGCCTGAGTCCCGGTCACGACCGGGACCTCCTGGACCCGCAGGGAACAGGAACAGACGGTGGTTCACCCGAACGTCCCTCCCTCGCCAAGCAGGCCACACTCACCCAGGACAAAGAGGGGGGAGGCGTGGCGAGGGTAACAAATGCCGCCAAGGAGCCGCGGGGCCATCCCAGGAGGAGCGGGCGCAGGCAGCCCCGTATGGGAGAGGAGAGACGGCGACGGCAGGAGCACTGATCCCGGAAGCGAAGGAAAGGGCGGAGCCGGGAGTGACAGCGTCAAGACCTTTACGGGGGGGCGGGGTCGAGACGGAGGTGGGGCAAGGAGCCGAGGGGGTAATAAAAGGAGGAGAGGAACCAGCTAGGGAGGAGGACCTGGGCTGGCTATAGCTAATTCCCACCGGCTGGCAAGAGAGAGAAGTGGTGGGGAAGCTGTGTGCCTCGAGGGGCCGAAAGCCAGACTCCAGAACGGGCCAAGGGGGTGAGGAGACCCTCTGACTTGCCCCGTTGTCTGAAGCAAGTTCCCTCCTCAGAGCCTTGCTCCACCGGCTCTGACCCTTCCCGTTGGTGGGTCAGCGCCCCTGCTGGCGACAGCTGGGAGCGCAGGCAGGACAACCACAGGCGGCTCGCCCCTCATGGACAACGCCCTGCTTGACAGCCTGATTGTTGTGGGACTCTGACAAAGACACCACAGCTCAGAGCAGTGTTCCCTCTACGCTGAGTTATTGTGAGCCAGCTCACCGTTTTCTAGCCTCCGGCTCACACATTTTTGTCTCGGCTCGGGAAGGAGGGCTCCGGAGCAAACTGAGTTATGCAGTAGCCCGAATGGCTCGCTCGTAACTTTAATGCCAGCTGCTCACATAGTAGAATTTTTGCTCACAGGGCTCCGCAGCTCAGAGGGGAGCATCGCTGAAGACCGACGAGGATCTCTGACGGACGCTCAAAAATTCTCACCCCCCAAAATCGAGTCGGTCTCCAGGGGCTACTGGACTCGAATCCAGCTCTTCCCCCGCAGACCGCCACGGCTCTCCCCCCCCCCCCCCCCCCCCCCCCCCCATTTAAGCAACTCTGTACGCCACTTGCCTCTTTCTTCTTCACCTTCACGTCTGCATCCGGGCCGGTCTCCTCCTTGGCTGCCAGTCCAACGGCCGGGGCCTTCTCGGTGTCGGCCCTTTCTAATTTGACCGGCTTGGCGTCGCCCGCCTCGTGCATCCTGAACGAAGACCTGCTGTCGTTGTCTTGGAAGCTGTCGGACATGGTGGAGCTCAGCCAGGAGGCCACCTTGTTCTTGGAGGTCTCTTCCGAGAGGGGGGGCTTACACGGGGCGGCCTCCTCGTGGCTCACCTGCCGGGCCAGGCCGGAGTCCTTGGAGGCCGTCTCCGACAGGCCGTTCTCCTTCTGGCCCCGCGTCTGGCGGCGGGTGGCATAGCTGCGCCACACCGAGCTGGTGCTGAAGTCTTCGTCCTTGCAGAAGTTGTCGTCCGAACTGTCCTCGTTGGATTCCTCCGGCTCCTCAGAGCCCGAGTTCTCGTCCTCGTCGTCCTTCAGGTTGACCCCGCTGCTGTCCGAGGAGCACTTGGCCTCGCTCTCGTAGCCCTCCTTCGAGTTCTCCACGCTCTCGATGTGGTCCAGGTTGGCGAAATACTCGTCCCCCATCTCCAGGCCCTCTTTGTCCGCAAAATCGTCCGTCAGGATTTTCCCTGCGGGGAGTCACAAGATGGGACACCGGGCTCAGAGCTGGGTGTGCGGGTGGCGACTGGGGGCAGAAAAGGTTTAAGTGTTCGGGGTCAATACCAGGGAGCGCCCCCACCATACGAGAGGGAGGGCCGGAGGGGAGGAGCCAGTGCTCGACTCTCGTGGCCCTTTCTTATATGGCCTGGGCAGTGCCGATCACCACCGGCTTGGCGGTAGTGGCTAAGAGCCAGTTTGGTGTAGTGGTTCAGTGCGCGGACTCTGATCTGGGAGAACCGGGTTTGATTCCCCACTCCTCCACTCGCGGCTGCTGGATGACCCTGGGCGAGTCATGGTTCTGTCAGAGCTGTCCTTGAAAAGGGCACTTACTGTCAGAGCTCTGAGACTCCTTTGGGTACTGGAGGGCGGGGTATGTCCAATCTCCTCCTCCTCCTCTCCTCTCCCCCCCCCCCAATGAGCCATGGGCCCTCACCAAAACATGAAGCTGCCTTATGCTGAATCAGACCCGCCGTCTGTCAAGGTCAGCATTCCCTACTCAGACTGGCAGTTGCTCTCCAGGGTCTCAGGCGGAGGTCTTTCCCATCACCTCCTGCCTGGTCCTTTAACTGGAGATGCCGGGGATTGAACCTGGGACTTTCTGCATGCCAAGCAGAGGCTCTGCCACTGAGCCACACTGATTGTATTGGCTTACACTGCGCCATCCCCCTTGAGTCTCAAGGAGAAAGGCAGGCTATAAGTAAAGCCAACAAAATAAAAATAAAGAGAACCCACTGGGTGGCCTCGTATAGTTTGCCCTCGCTCGGCATAGGCTTAGGAGACTGTGTCGTTGAAATGGGGAGGAGGGCACCAATAAGAGCTAGCCCTGAACTCTCTGGCTGGCTGACGTGAGTGGTGTAAGATGGCTTTAAGTTTGGCCGCAGGCTCACAGGCCGCCGCCGTACCTGCATAGATGCAGACGAACGAGCCCTTGGCGATGTCGTCCAGACAGCGGATGCCCCAGCCTTTGTTCTGCGTCTTGAAGAGCTGCAGCCGCACCTGCAGGCCGTGTTGGACCAGACGGTTGGTGCACATGTTTTTGTTGCACTTGCACCGCTTGTTGCACTCGTACACTCTGGCGAGAGGGGAGGAAGAGAGACGGTCACAAGCAGAAGAGGGTGACCAAGACCGTTAGGGGGGGGGTTGGACCAGTGTCCCCTCCAAGCTGAGTCAGTGTGAGCTAGCTCAGTCAATCAATCAATCAGTTTATTACGGTCAAAGACCCATCAGACAGCATACAGAATCAAAAACAGTCTCCAGATTATCGTAAGACATTACAAAGAGGGGGGAAAAAACAAACAACCAAAACAAACATCTCAAGGAGTATTAAGGAGATGCTTACGCTTTGTAATTGCAATAAAAAGAAATTTAGCAACATTCCTTGAAATAGCCGTGGGTTTGTCCTCCAGTAAGTGTTTCAGCAAAAGTTCCTCGGACTGGATTACTAATTGTCCTTGAAATCTAAATGACCTTAATAAGGTAAAGGTAAAAAGGTCTCCCTTGCTCGAAAGCCAGTTGAGTCCGACTCTAGGGTTGCGGTGCTCATCTCCGTTTCAAAGCCGAAGAGCCAGCGCTGTCCGAAGACGTTTCCGTGGTCATGTGGCCGGCATGACTAAACAGCGAGGCGCACGGAACGCTGTTACCTTCCCACCAAAGTGGTCCCTATTTATCTACTTGCAATTTCTTGCTTTCGAACTGCTAGGTTGGCAGGAGCTGGAACTAGAGACGGGAGCTCACTCCGTCATACGGCAACCCGGGTCTTGAACTGCTGAACTACCGACCTTCAACAGCCTGCAGTTCAGCGTCTTAACCACTTGAGCCACTGCAGCTACTTAATAAAGGCGTAATAAAGGCGTAATTAAAAGGGCTCTTTCTTCTGCATAGTGAGAGCAATGAAATAATATATGGGGGAGGGTCTCTATTGACTCGGAAGGGCATGAGCAAAATTCTCAGATGTCTGGGGAGAGCTAGCTCAGTTTTTTAGCCTCCGGCTCACACATTTGTGTCTGAGCTCAGGAAGGAGGGCTCCAGAGGCAAACTGATTTAGGCAGCAGCCAAACGGCTCGCTCACCACTTTAATGGCGGTAGCTCACAAAGTAGAATTTTTGCTCACGAGACTCCACGACTTAAAGGGAGCGTTGGATGGGACACCTTCCCTCAGAGGAAAGGCCAGAGAGTCTGGGAGTTTTCAGTTTAGAAAAGAGACGACTGGGTGGGGGTGGGGACGTGGACGTGAGAGAGGTTTACAAAATTATGCATGAGGTGTAGAGAGTGGACAAAGAGACATTTCTCTCCCTCTCCCAAAAGACTAGAACTTGAGGGTGGCCAATGAAGCTGATGGGCAGTAGGTTCGGGACAAAGACAAGGAAATACTACTTTACACCGTGATTAAAAATGTGGAATTCGCTGCCAGAGGATGGAGTGATGGCCACAGGCAGAGATGCCTTTAAAAGGAGAAAAGGCGGATTTGTGAAGGAGAGGTCTATCAGTGGCTACTAGCCACGGTGACTAAAGGGCACCTCCATGTTCAGAGGCACCGATCCTCTGAATCCCAGAGCCAGGAGGCATCTTCATGAGAAGGCCTCGGCCTCCGTGTGCTGTTGTTTAGCATCCAGAGGAACTGGTTGGCCCCTGTCTGAGACAGGATGCTGGACTAGAGGGACCAGTGGCCTGATCCAGCAGGGCTCTTCTGACATTCTTATAAGCATACCGGAAGGGCTGCCTACTCCCATATGCACCTACATATCCACTCCACTTATCAGGAGGCCTGATTTGGGTCCTTCTGCCATCTGAGGCCGAACAGGCAGCAACCCAAGAAAGGGCCTTTGCAGTCGTGGCACCCAAACTTTGCAACTCCCTCCCCGGGGAGATTGATCAGTCTCCCTCTTTCTTCTTCAGTCTGATATTTGCTTCCTGACTCCTATTAGCCCTTTTCTCTGCTTGTTCGTTTATGTTTTCATGCATTACATTTTAGTTAAGTGTTCCAAACGTTTCATGGTCCATTTGTGTTTTCGATACTTTGCAATGCCTGGGATGTTTGAATCTTGGCCGCCTTGGTGTTTGGGGTTTTCTTTTAAAATAAATTTAAAAAGCATCAGGTTGGATGTCAGGGAGGAGGATGAGGATGTATACCCCGCCCTTCGACTTGGGAGTCTCAGAGCGGCTTACAAGCTCCATTCCCTTCCCCTCCCCACAACAGACACCCTGTGAGGTGGGTGGGGCTGAGAGAGCTCTGACACAAACTGCTCTTTTTTTCAAGGACAGCTCTGGTCAGAACTTTGGCTTGTCCAAGGTCATCCAGCAGCTACAAGTGGAGGAGCGGGGAATCAAACCCGGTGCTCCCAGATTAGAGTCCGCACACTTAACCACTACACCTGTCAGCAAGCTGCCAAGTGTTTCTTCTGTTTCCCTTTCATGCGCATTCCTTCTCCCGCACTTAATTGCCGCTCTGCTGCAACGAGTATCTTTCAAGGCCGCTGGAGGAGTCGCTAGGGTGATTGCTTTGGCTTTAGCCAGGATGAGCCGTGGGAAGCTCGTACCTGTTTTGCTTTGGGTAGCAGTTGGTTCTCAAGCCTCGTGGCACGCGCGGGAACCACATTAATTGGATAGGGCTGATATGAATGTACTATAACCTACATGCGCAAAGTCTACCTGTCATTCCTAACAGTGTTCCTGTTCGTGCATCTATAGCTTCAATAAAAGTAAAACCTTCCTGCAAGTGTGTACTTCGTTGCTGCTGTGGGTCCTGAAAACACCAAACTGGCTCTACACCAAACTAGAATTGGAAGGGACCTCTAGGGTCATCTAGTCCAACCCCCGCCAAATGCAGGCAATTCTCAAATACTTCCCCCTCCATACCGCCAATGACTGCTGTTCCACGCCCAGAAGATGACAGAAAGCCTCCAGGATCTCCAGCCAAACTGGCCTGGCCACGAGAACTAAGCCCTGATGCAACCCTTCCCGCCCTCCCTCCCTCAGCCTGAAGGTGATCAGCCGAAGGGTCTGAACGAACCCGGACTTACCCTGTGGGAAGACACTCCTCCAGCCTCTTGTGCTGGTATCCCGAATGTGGGTTTATCTGTCCCCCAGGGGTGCAGGCAGTTGCCTGGATCGTCAGCTGGTGGCAAGCACATCTGGATCTTTTTAGGGAACAAAACACACAGTTCAGAACAGGGTACAGAAGGGGATGAGGTATTCCATTCCCCCCCAAAAAAAAAAACAGGGGGGGGGGGGGGGAACGGTTTTTTCCCCAAGCTTCAAAATTTCCGGAAATTTTACATCTCTAGGTGGGGCTGAGAGAGCTCTGAGAGAAACTGTGACAGGCCCAAGGTAGCCCAGCAGGCTTCACGTGGAGAAGTGGGGAATCAAGCCCGGTTCTCCAGAATACAGTGCGCTGCTCTTAACCGATACGCCACACTGGCTCTCTCTAGCCTGAGCCATCCGGGTCAAGGCAAGAGACTTTCAAAGGCGGCTCGCCGCTGCCTGCCTCTGCAGAGTGACCCTGGACTTCCTTGGGGGGTCTCCCGTCTGAATACGAACCAGGGGCCGGCCCTGCATAGCTTCTAAGATCAGGGTAACAAACTCTGTCTGGCTACCAAATAGAGTGGTTCATTCCAGGTCGAGAAATCCTGATGATTTGGGGGTGGAACCTAAAAAGGGTAGTTTGGGGATGGACCTTAGCAGGGTATAACACCACAAAGTTCACCCCCCCCCCCAAGACGTTTCTCCAGGAGAAAGCAGTTGGGACCAGTGTTCCCTCTTAGCTGAGTTGGCGTGAGCTAGCTCACAGTTTTTTAGCCTCCGGCTCACACATTTCCCTCTTAGCTCAGAAAAGAGGGCTCCAGAGCAAACTTAGTTATGCAGCAGCCAGATCGCTCACTCACAACTTTAATGCCAGGAGCTCAAAAGGTAGAATTTTTGCTCACAAGACTCCACAGCTTAGAGGGAGCATCGAGACATCAGTTGTCAATTCCAGATCTCCAGGCCCCACTGTAGTTTGTCAACCCCACTACCAAAGACAACATGGCCTCTCTCGTGTTCTTATGAGCACAGACAGCTTCAAGAGGGAATTAGATAAACATATGGAGCAGAGGTCCATCAGTGACAAGCTATAGATGGAACACTCTGTCTGGGGTTAGTGATGCTCTGTCTTCTTGGTGCTTGGAGGGGGGCACAGTGGGAGGGCTCCTGGAGTTCTGGCCCCACTGGTGAACCTCCTGATGGCCCCTGGGTTTTGGCCACTGTGTGACACGGACTGGATGGGCCATTGGCCTGATCCAGCATGGCTTCTCTTATGTTCTTATGTCTGGGGCAAGTGATGCTCTGTATTCCTGGTGTGTGTGGGGGGGGGCGCAAGAGTGGGAGGGCTTCTAGTGTCCTGGCCCCACTGGTGGACTTCCTGAGGACACCTGGTGTTTTTGGCCACTGTGTGACACAGAGTGTTGGACTGGATGGGCCATTGGCCTGATCCAACATGGCTTCTCTTATGTTCTTATGTCTGGGGCAAGGGATGCTGTGTATTCTTGGTGCTTGGAGAGGGGCACAGTGTGAGGGCTCCTGGAGTTCTGGCCCCACTGGTGGATCTCCTGATAGCCCCTGGGTTTTGGCCACTGTGTGACACAGAGTGTTGGACTGGATGGGCCGTTGGCCTGATCCAACATGGCTTCTCTTATGTTCTTATGTCTGGGGCAAGTGATGCTCTGTATTCTTGAGGGATGCTCTGTATTCTTGGTGCTTGGGGGGGGGGGACAGTGGGAGGGCTTCTAGTGTCCTGGCCCCACTGCTGGACTTCCTGAGGGCACCTGGTGTTTTTGGCCACTGTGTGACACAGAGTGTTGGACTGGATGGGCCATTGGCCTGATCCAACATGGCTTCTCTTATGTTCTTATGTCTGGGGCAAGGGATGCTGTGTATTCTTGGTGCTTGGAGAGGGGCACAGTGTGAGGGCTCCTGGAGTTCTGGCCCCACTGGTGGATCTCCTGATGGCCCCTGGGTTTTGGCCACTGTGTGACACAGAGTGTTGGACTGGATGGGCCGTTGGCCTGATCCAACATGGCTTCTCTTAGGTTCTTATGTCTGGGGCAAGGGATGCTCTGTATTCTTGGTGTGGGGGGGGGGCAAGAGTGGGAGGGCTTCTAGTGTCCTGGCCCCACTGCTGGACCTCCTGATGGCCCCTGGTGTTTTTGGCCACTGTGTGACAGAGAGTGTTGGACTGGATGGGCCGTTGGCCTGATCCAACATGGCTTCTCTTAGGTTCTTATGTCTGGGGCAAGGGATGCTGTGTATTCTTGGTGCTTGGAGAGGGGCACAGTGGGAGGGCTCCTGGAGTTCTGGCCCCACTGCTGGACCTCCTGATGGCCCCTGGGTTTTGGCCACTGTGTGACACAGAGTGTTGGACTGGATGGGCCATTGGCCTGATCCAACATGGCTTCTCTTCTGTTCTTAATCAAGATGCATGGACCCCCTAACCTTTGTCCGGGGGTTCTCAAAAAGGGGGAGCTGGCCTTGGCCAGAGGGGGAGGGAGGACTTCAACTAAGGGAGACAAACCCACGATGCTCACTTGTTCCTACAACCGTCTTCGCAGTCACACCCCACCAGGAACTCCGAGCCGGTGTTGATGTAGACCCCCTTGCCCGGGATGCGCTCCTTGCTGTAGGCCACCTGGGGGGGCGGGGTGCTGTCGATCTCGTTGACGCACGACAGGGGGACGTCTTCCTTCCCCTTGGTGATGTCGACGATGTAGTAGAACGGCTTGTACGGCTGGAACTTGCGGTCCACCAGGACGTAGGGGTCCAGGCAGAACATCTCCAGGAAGAGGAAGTCGCAGTCCGTCTCGAAGAGGTACCGCTCGATCTCGCCCATGCTGCGCAGGCACAGCCCGCAGGGCGTCTTGTAGATGACGTGGAAGCCCGTCTTGCGGTTGATGCGCCGGCGGGCCGTCATGCGGCGGAAGTCGTAGAGGAGCGGGATGAGGAGGGGGTTCTTGCTGCGGTACTGCTCGCCGTAGAGGGGGCGCACCCGCGACAGGCAGGTGTAGCTGCACACGTGGGGGAGGTAGAAGAGCTTCTCCACGGGGGCCCGGTAGGAGATCTCGTTGGGCATACGGTCCAGGACGCTGTGGAACTGCTGGGCGGAGGTGCTGCCGGCCGGCTGAGCGACGGAGAACCTGCCCCATGGGAAGGGAGGGACAACAATCAGACCTTGCCCTCAATTCTTTTCTTTTTTTAAATATGATATTTTTATTTGATTTTACAATATTAACATTCCAAAATCATAACAACATGTATGGTAGAGTCTCACATGTTCAATGTTTCTATCCATTCATACACCTTAACAGGGGTCTTGTTGTAGAAAAAGAGCTGCCGGAGCTCATTAGCATAACTCATTAGCATAACTTATTTGCATATGCCACGCCCCCTGACATCACCGGAAGTGACAGAAGGCCACACCCCCTGACATCACCGGAAGTGTGTCAGAAGGCGCGGCTACTTACCCTCCTGCTTCATCCTCATTCCCAAACGGAATGAGGATCGAAGCAGAGGGCGGGGTAAAGAAGGGGGCGGGGCTTCACCACATGACCGCCCCGCCCCCTAGAGGTTCTCTTCCGGAGCTCCGTACCTGAGAGCTCCCCCCCGACTAGAGCCCTGCACCTTAACCCATCTTTTAGTATATACTTGTTCACTCTTATTTTGCAACTTCAGACTTAGACTATCCGTTTGCGCTAGCTCTAACACTTGAACCACTAAGTCTAATTTCTAATGTATCTAATTTCCAGTTCTTGGCCAATAATAAACAGGCGGCTGTCATTATATATTTTTATCACATATTTATCTTGCTGTCTATAACCCTTAGGTAACATATTTAATAAATATATTTCTGGTTCCAGAACTATATTTTTCTCCATTACGTCTTGGATCAACCTCCTCACCATTCTCCAATATTCCTGAGTTTTGCTACATGACCACCACATGTGGAAAAAGGTTCCAATATTGGCCTTACATTTCCAACATTGGCTAGAGTAGCCCGGATAGCACTTAGCTATATTCTCCGGGGACCAATGCCATCTATGGAACATCTTATAAACATTTTCTTTATAGGCTGTGGCCCTCATAAATTTAATCGATTCCCATGTTTTATTCCACCTATTTACTTCTATCTCTTTCCCTATATCTTTCATCCAGCTACTCATTACTCTCTTCTCTTCCTCGTCCTTTTCAAAGTCATCCAGGAGAAAACTGTATAATTTCTGTATCAATTTATCACTTGTGGATAGCCATATTTTATCTAATTCGTTATTGCTACTCTCAAAGCCTCTTACCGCATCTTTTTTGTATCTGTCTTGGAGCATTGGCTTTTCCCACCATGATATTATATTTTCCCTTTGTAACTTCTCCTCTATTACTATTTTGTTTCTCTATTTAATAAAGTCTGATATGTTAATTTCTTATTTGTTTCCATTAGGGCGGGTTGAACAAATGCCTCCAGGGTGAAACCCACTTTGGTGTCTTCTTATAAAATTTCCCCTTTATCTTATTCCATACTTTTATCTTATTCCATACTTTATTTAAGGCACCTCTTAACCAATGTTTATTGAAATTTGAATGTATTTTATCCTTGTCGTACCATATATAAGCATGCCACCCTTCCAGTAGTAGAAGTCTCCTATTCTCCAGGGTGATCCACTCTTTAATCCACACCTTGCCTCAATTCAGGGCATCAACCAAACGGGAGTTAAGGAAGCTTTGCTATGATCTAGAAACGTAGAGGTGGGACCCCAAGGGTCATCCAACCCAACCCCCTGCACAATGCAGGAAATTCACAGTGACTTCCTGTATAGCCTCGGTAACGCTACCTTTGTTACGGGCATGTGCTTGGCCTTACGTGTTGTGCGGGGAGAGCCGTCAGGTTGCTCCCAAGAGAATATTCTCCTGCTCTCGTGCTTGTTAGCAGCTCTTATCGGAGAAGCCTGATTTGTTTTCTCTCGCCACTAGACGCCAGGTACGAGAGATGGCCTGGCTCATCCTAGCGCTTGGGATAGCTTGATTAATGACTTTTTGACACATAGCCAGCAACGAGGGTATAAGATGCTTAGTTTTAGCTATACGTCTCGACAGGGCTCTTTTTGTAGATAAAGCCCAGCAGGAACTCATTAGCATAATAGGCCACATCCAACAGCAGGAACACATTAGCGTATTAGGCCACACCCATGACAGCACAGCTCATTGGCATATTAGGCCACACCCCCATGTTACCAGAAGTGTGCTCATCCAGCCACACCCACCTTTTGCTTATTCTGTTTACCTTGTTTGTTGTCAAAACCCAGGGCCTTTTTTTGTAGCAGGAACTCCTTTGCATGTTAGGCCACACACCCCTAATGTAGCCAATCCTAATGAGTGTCTGCTGTTGGGTGTGGCCTATTATGCTAATGCATTCCTACTGGGCGTGGCCAACTTGGGAGCCAGACGGAACTCCGTTCCTGTGCGTTCCTGCCCAAAAATAGCCCTGCGTCTCGGGGTCTGGCTAAGTTTCGCTGTGCACGTGTGTGTTCGAGACCCAGTGGATGGGCGCTCAGCCTGCTATTTTCCTAATCTTGATCATTGCTTACTAAAATCTCCTTGTGAGCAAACTTGCATCTCGCATATTGTTTCCTTTGGATTTCTACGAACATGGAGCTCCAGGCCAGAGCCCCAAACACCTCCCCGTCCCTACTCCCCCAGTGACCCCTGTTTTATGCCTAGATCTGGAACAATATCCCCACTGACGGAAGAGGGCTAGCCAGCAAGTCTAGATGCAGACTACGGATCAGCGCGATGCCTGAATCGGCAAACTCGGTTTACGGCTGCCACTCAGCCTCTGGAGGCGGCGGCATCATGGAGCCAAGAGTAAAGTTACGTGTTTGACTGGAAAAGCAAAATGCCCGGATGAGGAGAAAGGTGGGATATCCAGGGGTCGTTTTGTAGAAAAAGAGCTAGGGGAACTCATTAGCATAACTCATTAGCATAGGCCACACCCCCTGACATCACCGGAGGTGTGTCATAAGGCCACACACCCCGCCCCCAACAGTCCCGGCCGCCACCGCCCTTGCAGCTCCACTGACGAGCCCCATGAGGGGTCCGGCGGTGGACCTGCAAGGCCGGCGGGAGTGCAAGGAAGCCCCGCGAAGGCCCTCCCTGGCCCCAGGCAGGCAGGGGTGGGGAGAGGCAGGGAGGAAGCAACTTACCCTCCCTCTTCTCCTGCCTCCTCCTGGCTGAATGAGGGCCGGAAGCAGGGGGCGGGGCTTCGTCATGTGCCCCGCCCCCGTACCTCACCCGGGGGAACTGCGATCCCCCGGGATCCCCCCCGAAATGACCTCTGGGGATATCAATATTTTACTGAAACTAATAAAGAAAGCAGGGAAGTCGCATTAAACCGGTTTGCCTGTCACACATTAGGGGGCCCAAACCGTAGTTTACAATTTTATCTCATCTCGTTAGTGATAATAATAATAATAATAATAATAATAATAATAATAATAATAATAATAATAATAATATACTTTATTATTATAACATACTTTATTGGGTACCTGGTAGGCACTCACCTCTCCCCCAAAAAGTATTGTGGCCCTAGTTAGATTGTTAACATTGTCTGTAAACCGCTCCGAGCCCTTGGGAGGAGCGGTATATAAATCGAATGTGTATTGTATTGTATTGTATTGTCATTGTACATAGTACAACGAAATTAAAGATGCAATCATTTCGGTGATCTACAACAATATTCATATACACTCACACACCATTCACTACTGTCCCATAACTCCCTTAAGGTTCACATAACCGTTGGGCCCGTGGGCACTATTGGTGCCTGCCGACCCGTTTCCTGGCATTGAGTATTTTCAAAAAGTCGATTGAGTTGGGTGGGGCTCCTTAACAGCAAAGTTTCTGACTGACCACTTCAGAACTGATTGGCTGTGCCGAGTTTTAAAAACATTGCTGTGGCAGCACAGCACAAAGATCTACACTGTGTGACTGAAGGTAAGCTGTGGTGGCCATTTTGTGGCTCGCTCCGCCTCCCGCGGTGGCCATTTTGCGGCTGGCTCCGCCTCCCGCAGCGGCCATTTTGCGGCTGCCCCTGTCACACTATGTGAGAACGCCAGAGTTGCAAAGAATAACAACGGAAAACAACCGCGAGCTGAATTTCCCACAGAATATTCAAAAGGAGACTTCATTTAAAATGAAATGCATCCATTGTCTGAAACAAATCTATCCCTATGATCCGTCATCGGAAACGGCAGAAGCCCAAGAATTAATACACAAGATGACTATCCAAAAAAGTCCAACACTCTTCCTAGGTAATTTTTCCAGTGTTTCAGACCTCTGGTCCTTCCTCGGGAACAAAAAACAACTGCTGAGAGTCTCATTCCATCTCTTTATAAGATAATGCTTTTCTGTTATTTATATACTGGGCAAGGTCTCCTTTGCTCAAACCAGCACCCCTAAAGGTGGCTTCAATGTTATTGTCATGCCTGCCCTTGCTGATGCCCCTGAGGAGGCACCTGCCAGCCAGGAGCCTGTGGACTTACAGGCTCCTGAGGACAGTACTGCAGCAGAAAGGCAAAGACTGGATCCTGTAGCTGAAAGCTATCTAAGTGGTGAGGAGGATAGAGCCTCCCAGGGAACACCTGCAAGGGATCAGTCTCTGCTGCATACCAGTAATTCGTCATCAGACTCACCACCACCTGTAACCAGGCTCAGGAATGTACGGAGACAGCAGCTGAGAGAGCGAAGACAGAATGCACGCATGCGTGCCAGAAGATCTCTTAGCCCTGAATATTGACAGGATCCTGACCTCGCTCCCGGCTAGCTAATGACTTGACTCTGCGTTCATCTCTGACTCCTCTGGTATCGTTGTGATTTATGGACTTGAAACTCTGGTGTGTCTGACCCTGCTTTTGGACTGTGATTTAAACCTGTTTGAACCTCGCTGCCTGAGTTGCTCGGCTTGACCTCGGACTGCTTCTGGACTTTTGCTTGCTTGTGTCACGCCCCCTGGTCCTGCCGTGACAGTTATCAGGACCAAATGCATGTGAATATCCTGCAGGAAATTCAGCTCACGGTTGGTTTTTTGTTGTTGTTATTCTTTGCTATTTATTGCTGTGTGCAGAACTCCAAAGGGGCCAGCAGGCGCAAAAAGGTTGGGGACCCCTTGTATAAACCGTGGCTTATTATCCAGCACTGACTTAGGGCATGTTCCCAAAACCGGACTCAGTGTAAATGAAGCCACGCAGCAAGCCAGAGACGTGGATAACGCTCCGGCTCTGCACAAGGCGTTACGGCCCCTTCCTACGGTGGACGACCCCGGTGCGAAAACGGTTTTTCCCGGTCAGAAACTCTGCCCCGAAGCCCACCACACTGGCGCGGAACGCCCCGTCCCCTAGAACTCGCTTACTTTCCACCCAACGTCCTTAAAACCGCCACTGCTTACCGAAATTGCTGGGTCACCCCGCTCCTCACGACAGGAGCCGGTTCGCCCAGGACGGGGGAAGACGGAGAAGACGGTCCCGACCCCACGGAGCCCGGACGCAGGAAGGAAGTACTCTTCTTGGCCACTTGCTGCTTTTTTGACTGAGCCAGCTGGCTTTCCGGACTGCTGCACGGGAGCAAGGGAGAGTGAAGCAGAAGAGAGCTGGGTACGAAGCTCCCAAGGGGGGGGCGGATGTCTGAACTGGGGATCTGGGAGCACTGAAAGACAGCATCATGACTGGGGATTTCCGACTGTGAAGAGGGGCCGTGGCTCAGTGGAAGAGCATCTGCTTAGCATGCAGAAGGTCCCAGGTTCAGTCTCCGGCATCTCCAGTTAAAAGGACCAGGCAGGCGGGGATGGGAAAGACCTCCGCCTGAGACCCTGGAGAGCTGCAAAGAGGGCCTGTGGCTCAGTGGAAGAGCCTCTGCTTGGCATGCAGAAGGCCCCAGGTTCAATCCCCGGCATCTCCAGTTAAAAGGACCAGGCAGGCGGGGATGGGAAAGACCTCCGCCTGAGACCCTGGAGAGCTGCAAAGAGGGCCTGTGGCTCAGTGGAAGAGCCTCTGCTTGGCATGCAGAAGGCCCCAGGTTCAATCCCCGGCATCTCCAGTTAAAAGGACCAGGCAGGCGGGGATGGGAAAGACCTCCGCCTGAGACCCTGGAGAGCTGCAAAGAGGGCCTGTGGCTCAGTGGAAGAGCCTCTGCTTGGCATGCAGAAGGCCCCAGGTTCAATCCCCGGCATCTCCAGTTAAAAGGACCAGGCAGGCGGGGATGGGAAAGACCTCCGCCTGAGACCCTGGAGAGCTGCAAAGAGGGCCTGTGGCTCAGTGGAAGAGCCTCTGCTTGGCATGCAGAAGGCCCCAGGTTCAATCCCCGGCATCTCCAGTTAAAAGGACCAGGCAGGAGGGGATGGGAAAGACCTCCCCCTGAGACCCTGGAGAACTGCTGCAAGAGAGTGGACGAAACTGACTTTGATGGACCAAGAGTTTGATTCAGTTATGAGGCTGCTTCGTGTGTTCACGTGACCCCCGCGACAGAATGATCGATGCGACTTACTCCACGTCGACAAACTGCGGCGAAACCGGCTGCGACACCATGATCGGCACCGGGGGTGGCTCCACGGGCTTAAATTGCGTGCTGGTTCCGGTTAAGTCGTGGATGTACTGGACCACTGGGCCCTTGCTCCGTACGGCACCTGGCGGGAGGGAAATGTGGAGTTAGTGTGACGAACTCTGGGGACAGCTGGCCGGGGGGGGGGGGGGGGGTTTCGTTTTCCCACCCCC